AAAATGTAGCATGACAAAGAGAAAATGTGTTGCCTAACATTTTTTCTTTCTCCTAAATTTTATATTGTTGTTCAATTATAATTGTCCCCATTTCCCCACCATTACTCTCCCCTGCTCTACCCACCCCCACCATCCATATTCAATCCTCCTCCCACCCCACATTGTCTTTGTTCCTTGATTTCACCATTATACCTGTTTCTTGACTTCACCCTTCCCCTTCTTTTCCCTGTTTCCCATTCCCCCCACTCCTCTGGTTACTGTCAGTTTGTTCTTAATTTCAATGTGTCTGGTTATATTTTACTTGCTCCTTTGTTTTGTTGATTAGGTTCCACTTATAGGTGAGATCATATGGTGTTTGTCTTTTATTGCCTGACTTATTTCACTTAGCATAATGCTCTCCAGTTACATCCATGCTGTTGCAAAGAGTAGGAGCTCCTTCTTTCTTTCTGCTGTGTAATATTCCATTGTGTAAATGTACCACAGTTTTTTGATTCACTGTAACATTTTTTGAAGTTAATTCTAAGGCTGGATAAATTTGAACTGTATTAGATTGTCATCTTTGATGCTAATTCACTGCATTTATTTCTTCTTAGGAGGTGACACTTTGCCATTCTTTTTTTCATACCTGCCAAATAGCCATTTTGCAAGTCCATTCAGTTTAAACATGTGAGGGCTTGGGTCTGGCTATGCCTCAAATTACCCCTTAATTTTAATTATGGAAGCATAGAGATTTGCTTTCAGGTTAATCCTAGTAACAAAAATATTTATAACTTTTATGGGCAATGAGGGTGGGGTGTTCTCAGACTTTTCTGTAATAAGCTGTTTTGAGAATAGTCTTAAATACTTTTCATGATCAAAAGGACCATTAATTAGCACATGAGGGCAATAGAGTATATTTTGTTGCTTAAAAGATTATGCTAATGTGAGTAATGTGAATAATCACATACAATTTACTGTGGGAGGTTTACTTTATATGTTTGTATAGAATCATGAATTCAGGAAGAATCTTCATAAATCATTTACTTTTTTCTCCACTTTTAAAAAAGGATGCTTCTCTAGCAATACCCTCAACCCTCCACATCTCTTCTGAAATATTAGACTCTACAAAGAAGCACTTCCAGTGGTGTGCAGTATTTTCCCAGCGACCAAAACCTTCTTTACTTTAGTTTAAAGTTATTTTCCCTAGATGCAATATACTTTTCAAATTCCCAATTCACAAATATGTTATTTAAAGTGTTGATTTTTAATGCAATTTTACTAGAGCAACATTTCCCCATGTATGTTTTCCCTCTGATCACTATTTTCATGAGATATTGTGAAAGAAAAGAAAGTTTCTGTGGCCATAAAATTTGATAAATTTTGCACACTATGAGACCCTCTTGGAAATTATCTTTTTGTAGCTATCACAGTCTCCAAAAGTTGTCCTGAAACCATACTATCTAAAGAATAACTAGAACACAATCGACAAGTAACATACAAAAAAAAACAAAACTAAATGCACAGGTGATTCAGATGTCCAGCTGGTTGAGAATCATTGGTTTTGATTGTAGGATGCTGTCCCAGGGAACTAGGGATGCAGTGGTGAGGGTCCTGAGCACCTAGAGAGGTATAATGTGACATTGTGTGCCATGAGAGGGAAGAAATAACCAAACAACCTTGTTTTATTTACACAGTGAGGTAACCCAAGTCCATGCCACAGTGAAAAAGGAATTCCCTGAAATGGATGTCTGCACAAGCAGAATCATGACTGAATGTTGCATTTACTGTTTGTGCCATCTAGTGAATGCTGTCTTATAGAAACCCTTGTGATGGTCACATTGCCACATCCTGCTTTAATCCCAGTCAGATGATGGAACACCAACACCACCAAGTAATGGCATGACCACCAATGCTATTTCTCCATACAATGGTATCTATCCCTTTTCCTGTAGGCCTCGAAGTTATTCTGTGCACATGTAGGTAAACAAGAGAAAGAATTAAATAAATTTACCCTGATTAAGTGACCCTCAGAGTATTGTAGGGAGTGGAGAGAAGAGGGGCTCTTCTCTCAAGCAGCTATTAAAAAAGCCAGAGTTATCTTCTGAAGGATGTGGACTTTGGACAGGGCCTGGGGTTTGAGGAGAATTTGAATAGATTAGGAAGAAAGGGAACAGACACTACACGTAGAAGAACACTTTTGAAGTGTGAAGTTGAAAAGGAGCCTTTAGCGTGTGGGGAAAAGTGAAGAATTCTCAAGCGCCCTTTTTACTTAGGGCTCTTTGCCGACTTCTCTCACACAACCTGGGGAAACTACCTAAGTTATGTTTTTGAAAAGAATTGAAAATTCATACCCTCAAATATTTTATTGCCAAACTATTTTTATAGTACAAATTTTGATCAGTAATTCTAGAAAAAATAAGCCCATATATATGTCAAAAGCAACTCACACCAGGCATTCTAGCCCCCAGAGAACAGAGTCCCATTTCACCAAGCCAAGGCGGCTATCATGCCTCACCAATGGGGACTCACTGTTCCAGAGAAACCAGTCTTCTTCCATCCCTTAGGTGCTTTATGTTCATTTTTGCTTCCAGATGTATGTTCATGTTATTCCCCCACTAAAAATACCCTCCACCATTCCCACTGCCTATTAAATGCCCTTAAAGCTCAGCTGAAGTTTTGCAACATTGTTATCAATACGAACACAGTGAGTCTTACTTGGGAGTTCCCTGGGGACCCCCTTATATAGAAAGAACAATTTTTGAAATCAAGGCAAGCACACACATACAATTGACTTAATTTCTAAGATCTTAAATATTATGTCATATATATAACACAATTATTTTCTTGCTTAAAAATTGTCTAAAGCCAAATAAAGCACTATATATTTTTGTATCTACATTCTTGTGTTATTATTTTCTGATCTTGAGTTGCATCTTGTTTCTGTCCAAAATGAAAATTATGCTCCTTAAGTCTAGGTAGCGTGATGTATATCTCCTATTCCATTTCATAGCATTGGATTAATAGTAGGTGCTCAAAAAATATTTCAATTGTTAAACAGCATGCAATTGTTTAAGATAGGACCTTGAGGAAATTTGTCATGCAGTTGCCATGTCTTTATGGATGGTCAGGTTAGGTGAAAGCAAGTGTCCCAGCACAACAAGTAGATCAGACTCCCCATTTACAAGGTACTTCAAACCCAATACCCTGTTGTTCCTCCCACAAGTATGAGTGGTGAGTAAAAACATTAATGCTCATTTTACAGACAAAATGCTTGTGGTCCAGAGAGTTGAAATAATGTGCTCCAGATCAGAGGGCGGGTGTCACAGCTGCACTCAAACCCTCATTTTATGATTCAGCTGGTGGGCAGGGGGAATCTGGTGAGAGAATTTACCAGAAGAAAGGTCAACTCAAGGGGAATGAGCAGTTCTGAAGATAAACTTGGACTTGGGGCAGGTGTTAAGATGGGATGGGATTGGCAGCCAGAGTCTTCTGGAATCTTTGGTTCCTGGGAAAAAGGATTTTGAATGACCGTGAAACACACGACTGTCTTCGAGCTGTGTGTGGAAGTAGCCAGGTGCTTCAGCTAAGTTGGCACCAGGAGGGTCAGGAGTGGGTTTTGAAGTCGTAGTTACGTTGTAAATTGGCAGTTGGCAAGGGGTTAGATCTGTGTCTTTTGAAGAGACACAGTTTATTGACATCTGCTGATCAGCCTGTCATCAATTGTGGGATTTACAACAGTTCCACTTGCCTGATGAGAGGCTCTGTCCCACATGGCTTCTTAGAGGGCTGAGCAGTGCCATCTAGTGGTTCATTTTGAGATAAGCAAGTTCAAAACATTACAACGTTAACGTAGCAGCATTTCTTTCCTTTCCAAATAACAGTAATCATTCCAGAGAAAGTCATGATATCAGCAGTATGCATTATCTCAGGTATAACACGGCATCCCAGCTTTCATATTGGGGGTATTGTGTGACATATGTTTGCACAGAGCCCATCAAAGACCTTTTGTAAACTCAAAAATCAAAATTTAATGAAAACACTATGAAGTCTCCTGTTTTTTTGGGAGTTCTTCATTGCTCAAGATTTCATCCCGGATTGAGCAAATTTAGAGAGTGGATTGGAAGGGGTGATGATGGGAAACAACAAGGTTGCTTCCTGCTTTGGGAAGCTTGGAATGCACATCTTCCTGTGGACAGATTGTGAGTTACAACCAAGACTGAATTCTTTTCTAAATGGCCCCCTGAAAACCCAGGTCTTCATTTCATTTACTGAGGTTTCTATGTTACTTTTTACTTAATACCCTAATAACCAAGACTGTAAATCCGATAGAGGCTTTTTTTTTCCTGGACAATTTGTATAATTAAAAAAACTATAATTTGGGCCATGACTGGGTGATTTAGTTGGTTGGAGCATCATCCTATAAACCAAAAGGTACAGGTTCAATTTCTGATCAAGGCACATACCTATGTTGCAGGTTCAATCCCTGGTTAGGATGCACACCAGAGGCAACTAACTGATGTTTCTCTCTCACTCTTCTCCTTCCTCTCTTTCTAAAATCAGTAAACATATTTTGGGGTGAGGATTAAAAAAAGCCATAATCTGGAATATTTTAAATATTTTATCTATTCATAATATATGTGAAATATTGATGGAGTCATCTATCTATGTATCATCTATGTATCTATCTTTTACAAAAACTGCTAAGAAGAAATAAAATGGATGGGACTTGGCATTCAAATTCATAGTTACTTCACCCAAAAGAGGTCTGAAGTAGCCCAAAGTGGGTAGCATGATAAAGAAATGAAATAATGTAGGTTTGGAGAATCTGCACAATGAATAATTAAATGCTGACGTATTTGGATCATTGAAGAAAAATGTTTAAATGTGCCCTAGGTATTAATCAGACAATCAAGCCTGACTCTGGGAAATTGTTTCCTACTTTACAACCAGTGGTGTGGTTATGAGACCATTCATGTTGGCTTATTCAGATTTGTTGACATCTCTACCACTTTGTTTTTCAGACTCCTGGTCCGAGAGAACAGCATGGCGCTGAACCACACGGTCCTGCCCCAGGACGATGGCCTGCCACACTATGTTCCAAATGGGGATCCCTTTGCTTCCAAACTTTCCTGGGAAGCGGATTTGGTGGCTGGCTTTTACTTAACTGTAATTGGTGAGCTTCCTTAATATTTCTGTGCAAAAGCTGCATCTAGAAATGCAGCTTTTGCTGCATTTTTTTATGGTTTGATACGTTGATTTTGCACAAAGATTCCAACATTTATGTGGATATTTTGAGTGGAGGTAAAAAGTGGGAGGAAGGTGGAAGATGGGGTAAACTCTTGATTATCTTTATTATTAGGGATAGATATTCTCTTGGTAATCAAAAATATTTTACAGCAAAATAATTTATCTTCAGACTACCTTTCATTTCTTTGCTTTGGTAGTAAGATTATCTATTGAATAACAAAATTAATGATAATGAACTCTTATTTAAGTATACTGCTTTCTGTTGTTAAAAAATGCTTTGATACGATCAAAATGTTATAGGCTTAGCATGGACCTGAGCAATCACCTAGCTCAGCTTCCTCTGTTCACAACAGAGGGAACTCGGGCCCAGTGCAGTAGTGACCGTGGACACCCTGAGCTTAATTCCCCTAAAGTAAAGCCTCACCATGTTTGCAGCACTACGTAATTTTGGTGAGAGTTGAAAAGGTGTATTGGTAATGCACAGAAGTTATTCCAGGGTCAAGGCTTTTGTTCATGATCCCTATCAGCTTCTGGACTGTGTTGTCCAATACAGTGGCCACAGGTCGGCCTGAGCCCCTGCACTGTGACCTTTCCAAATTGAGATGCGCTGCAGTGCAAACACACACCAGATACTGAAAATGCAGTACCAAGAAAATAATGTAGAATAGCTTGTAATGATTAAAATATGACTGCATGTTCTACTCATAACATTTTGGATATATTAGATTAGATAAGTATTAAAGTTGATTTAGTAATATTTTTACTTTGTTTAATTTGTCTACCAGAAAAAAAAATAAGCACATATGTGGCTCACATTTCTGGTTTACATTGTATTTCTATTGGACAGCACTAGTCTAGGCACTTAGAATTCAACCATAATACTTTCCTGAAATGTAAAATGGTTGCTTCAAATTTGAGCAACCAGTGTATACAGGTGGGTTATGTCTCCAGGTGTATCTGCCTTGAATCTTTTCAGATGCTGGGTCAAGCTTTCTCTCTCTTTTTCTCTCTCTCCCTCCTTCCCTCCATCCCTTCCTCCCTTCCTTTCTCCCCCCTCTTATCCTCCTTCTCATCAATTCCCTCTCTCTATATTTATTACTGGGTAAAATTTTTATTCAAACTCCTGAAATTAGGAAAACTCACTAGATAAGTCTAGTCAATGTCAGTGCTTGGGACAAAAGAATTCAAGCTGGATCAGAAATTATACTAAAAAGGAATTCCCTGGATCCTCGGGGTTGTTATAAGTCAGTATGAAACAGACTTAAATCCTACATTTTATAAATGCATCCCCACATCCTTTCAAATACAAAAAAAATAGCAAATGCCTATTTTTCACTAACATTTAAGTTACTGGGAAGACAGTGGTGAATGAATGGACCCTTGTCTGCATGCGGATGGCCTGGCAATAAAACCCAAAGTGCACTGTTATTGAGCATAAGTACCTCCAATGATCAGAAAAGACAGAAAAATAGACATCTTACAAATTGAATTTGTCTCAATCAACTGCAAGGGATTAAATAAAAAGCAGCATCTTTAACTTGATAAATTTCCCTAGGCAACATAAAATAGGGAGAGAGAGCGCCTACTCCCCACCCTGGCATGAGGGATACAGGGAAGAGAGACCAGCAGGATGGCGGTGGGGGAATCGGGGGGATTTCTCACCTGATGCATGTGGGGTAGGAGCTAGAAAAAGAATTGAAAAAAAAAGGTCATGAAGTCACTCAGGAGCTGGAAGTGCAGCCAAAACCTGTTCCAGAACAGTGTCTGGTGAAGTCAGGGGCGGGTGGAGGGGCATGGAATCATCCTAGACCCAGGTCTTGGACACAGTCCTGTGAGTGGTTGGTTTTCACCCCCTCCCAGGGTAGGTTAAGGGATGTGCCCAGGTTCCTTCTAAGGAATCAGAGTGAAATGACATTCTTGGTGAACCTTGTTAAATATTAGAATTAGGGAAAGCTGGAAAATGAAAAGATAAAACTGGAATGAAGAAGAAATAAACTAGAGACCCATTTCTACCCTCTATTCTTATACTGTAAATACTTTATTAAGTTTATATGTGAGATTTTGTATTTTTGCTGTCATAGAATCATGATTTGGATCATCCCCTTTTAGTCTTTACCTTCTTAATCTTATTTTTCCTTTAGCTATCCTTAAAAAATAAGTTTGCATTCTCTTGTTACCCCCCGACAGCTCAGATTTCCTGTGGGAATGGTCTACCTGAAGCTCCAACTGAGAGTTGGCTATTTATGGATAATGCTTTAGGCACTGGGTGAAGCCTTGTGAATCTCTTAGAAAAAAAATTTAAGAAAGGAAAAGTAAGAAAATCAGTATTTGCAAAAGAAATGTAGAAAGATGAAGGGTGTTTAAATGAGCATTGTGTATCAAATACATATGCATACTTATTTCAGTCTTCTGGATACCACATATGTGACATTTGCTTATAATTTTTCAAGTCATGTTTTTACATTTTAATTTCCCAGTGTGCTTTGCTAGCTGGTTTCCTTTAATGACATGTAGGTTTCACTTCAGTTGGTTTGCTCCAGAACTCCAAAATCGCTTCTATTGTTTTCCTCTTCTGTCTTAAGAAAGCTAGAGATTGTTGAGGGACCATTAAGCAGCACTACTCCAGGGATTCAGAACTTCCTCAGAACTCAGCACAGTTTCCTGGTGGTTTCAGACCATCAGCTGAAAACATGCATTTCTTTCCTTGCCCCCTGAATGCATTGTAGTGGAGAAGTAGAAATTAAAACAGAAAACTCTGGGTTTCTCCTGTTAATACTCTCCTTATTCCTTACTACCAAAGGCAGCTGTACCAGATTCTCATTTATACACAGCTACACTATGAAGCAAGAATTCCTGAGGAAATCTACTCTACATGTTAAGCTATGGAAGTAGGTGTATTCTTTTCTTAAATAAAGTCAGTAGGGATTGGGTTTTTTGGATTTAAGCTGGGTTTGTGAGAACTTTTGGACAGTTTCATTGTGATGCCAAAACCAATTAGTCATTAATGAAAGGATATAAAAAAGTGAGAAAGCATTGATACCATCATTGGTAGGATGGTGGGTTGAGGGTCACTTTCTCTCCCTTTGGCGGTAGTGGGAGAGTCCATGTCACCCAGTGCCACCCACTGCCCCTCAGTGTCTAGTCCAGTAGCAGCTGCAGACACCAGTGCCTAGGTGTTCTCAGGAGGCGACAGCCCTGGGATGTGACTCCAGGCACTGACCCTTTCCCTGCCGGGGTTGCGCCAGCTTTCTCTGGCCTCTGCCTCTCCTGAATCCCTCAGGGGTGCACAGGGAGAATGAATGCACCTAGTGTGGTTTGGGTCACTTCATCTTTGCACTGTATCAAGAGCCAAGGGGTTGACCCTTCCTATCAGAGGGAGGGGATTCTATAAAGCCAATACTCCATAAAAGTGCCAGGGGAAGCACTTCACCCGGGGCACCAGTATGAGAACTGACCTTCAGGAGGCCCACACCATCTTAGCTTCACTGGGAAGTTAGTGGTTCCTTTTCCTGGGTAAGTTCGGTGTTATAATCCCTGTTTTCTCATTCTTTGGAGGCAACCCGTCCCTCCCCTGTCACTCACAACTCTTTACTTCATCTTCTTAATTTAGATTTTTATGTAGAGTCCTCTCCCTACCCTCTAAATCTATGGTGTCTATTTTTGAAATTGAGAAGTGTTTCATTTTCAAGTGAACTCTGAATCCTAGTTTTAACGATGGGAATTTGTATTTTTCTTTGTAGGGATTCTGTCCACAGTTGGAAATGGGTATGTCCTTTATATGTCTTCTAGACGAAAGAAGAAGCTACGACCTGCAGAAATAATGACAATCAATTTGGCAGTCTGTGATCTGGGGATCTCAGGTAACATAATCATGCTGTTTCTTCTCTGGAGGTTTGAATTGCACCCCATTCTGAAGTTCTCGCTGACTCAGACCTCACCCCCTGCCACCCCCCACCCCTTCACAAGTCATGTTTACAGTTTGTGGTAAGTCCACAAAGTGCTGTCTGATCATTTCTTTAACCTCTTATTGAATCCTTTCTAAGTGCCAGGCATGTTTGATGCTGAGGATACTATTTAGAATAAGACAGGATACCTTAGACACCTCCAAATGTAGTGGGGCTTAATGATTCAGAAAACAGAAACTTACAGGGAGGCTCTAGGTCCCTGTTTGAGCTCCATTACGTCCCTTTTGTCTATATAGAAATTTGTTAAAATAAGCACCAAGGGGGTTGGGTGTGAAGGGTAAATGTGAGTGAAGACAGTCTGAGACGTGAGTACAGAGAGGAGGAAGGGCTGCTTGTTGGCAACACAGTGAAGTGCAGCTGAGGGACTGACTCAGACAGAGGAAGCTTCTAGACCTTTGGTTCTCAAACAGCTGCACAGACACGTCACTTGGAGAACTTTTAAAACAATATTCATGGCTGAATTTCACATCCAGCAATTTTCATTGAATTGGTTGGGAATGTCCCCTGGATGTCAGGATATTTGCAGTCAGCTAAGTTTAATGTAAAGCCAAAATTGAAAACTGTTCCTTTGGCCTCTGGTAACCCATCAACTAGAGGTTGGAATAAAATTTCTCTTCAACTGTCCTTCACATATTGATATATATTTATAAATACGTCTGACTTGGGTGAGTCTCCTCACATTGCTGTCACCTGCAGCACTCTGGGGCTACCCAGACACACTCACACGCACCTCTGGAGCCTACATCCTGCTGCTGAACATCCGGTCTTAAGTTACTAGATTTGGGGAGATTGAGTTTGAACAACACATATCCCCTCCTCTTTCTGCTAGAATCCTTCTAACAGTTTCCCATCTAAAGAAACCCCTTCAAAAATATTTTCTGATATTCATGTCTCTCTTTACAAAGGAATGTTTCTGTCACTGCCAGTCTCTGAAAGCAGGGCTCTATAATAAGCCTCTCCCTATTTCCCACACAGCACTGATGTGTTGCCCGCTTCCTGAGAGTCTGAATGGTGCAGGTTATTTAGAAGGACTTTACTCAGTATGGAGAGACTTAAATAACACGAACTCTTATGGGAAATACACATACACACTGAGAAGGACAGGACATATCAAGTCCCTTTCTGTGGAAATCAAATGAAACCTAGGGAATTTTCGAGGCTGCAGAAGAGCTGCTATTTTCAGTATTGCCACGCGATGGCGGTGTCGCAACATGAATGACTTTTTCCTGGGTCATTTCAGCACACCCTGCAGACCCCTGACTGTTCTCTTCCTGGTACTGAAGGTAAAAAGCTTGAGTGAAACCTGTTATTTCAGCCTCATCTTTTACCATTGATGATACCCAACTGATGCTTAAAACTGAGTAAGAGTAGGCTTGAATAAAAATGTCCTCAATTGTTAGATACATTGAAAATGCTTTCAACTAAGCAAATCTGCTCTAGAATTGCACAAACCACCTCATTAGTTGAAAACATCTTTAGAGTAATTCACCAGAAAACATTTTCTTTCATGTGATAGCTTTCTGTGATCTAACTCCGACCATTGTTTTTTCAACTTCTGAGTACTACCTCCAATTAACTGTCCCTTTCCAATAAACCTAAAACATTTTATGTCTATATTATTTTTTCTGGGTCAACTATATTCCATTATAAGCACCTTGAATAAGCACAACTAATATTTCTTGTTTAAGCAGCAATGGCTTGCAACTGTGTGTGTGTATTAGACCCAAGGAACTTAAAAAAAATAAAAGTACATAGATGCCTGGACTTACTCCAGAGAAATTAAATCAAACTCTCTAAGGACTGGAGTCCTAGATGTTGATATTTAAAATAAATCAAAACAATGCAAAACAAAACATAACAAAGCAATACCTTCAGTGATTCAGAACCACCAGGTTCATTACCATTCTACTAAGCAAAGAAAGGAGAGACATCTACATGACATTGCAGAAATTCATCAAAAGGTTTGTTCTAGCTCTGGCTGGTGTGGCTCAGTGGATTGAGGGGTGGCCTGCAAACCAAAAGGTTGCCAGTTCCATTCCCAATCAAGGCACATGCCTGGGTTGTGGGCCAGGTTCCTAGTAGAGGGTGCGTGAGGGGCAACCACACATTGGTGTTTCACTCCCTCTCCTTCTCCTTCTCTTGCTCTCTCTCTAAAAAATAAATAAATACATACTAAAGAAAAAGAAAAAGAAAAGAAAGTTCTGCTTCAGAAGGAATCTTAAAATAGCTTTTACTAATGGATCCCAGGCACAATAGACACCAAATCCACTCCATCCGAGTCACTTTCACCCTTAGTTTTCTGCCTTTAGCATCCATCTAGCAGACACTTACCTCAAGCTTTGAATTTGCTGTTTCCTCTGCCTAGAATATTTTCCTTCTAGGTATTTGCTAGAGTTCTTTTCCACTGATTTAGGCATCTGCCTCAATGTCACATTCTTCCCTGATTCCCCTATGTGAAACAACAGTTTCTGTCTATCCCCTCCCTCTGCCTTAATTTTCTTCAGAGTGTTAATCACTGTCTATCATTCCATCACATTATATTTTACACACAAATTAGTTCTTCCTTTTTTCTGCTCTATTTCAAAAATTAGTTTGTGAATCTTCATCTCCACTTTGTTCTCTAGCACCTTGCTCTGTGTCTGTTATATAAGAGACACTGAATAATTACTTGTTGAATGTGAACTATTCTTTGGATCAGGAAGCTTGGGTATGAGGGCACACAGTCTAGGAAGACGGAGTGTGTCCAGCTGTGCAGACAACTAAAGGAGATATGTGTCCAGCTTATAGAAGGCACTCAAGAAATATGTGTTAACTGACTATACTAACAGGAACTTCTGTACATCTTTGTGTACCAAAGTAGGGGAGTACCTGGGAGGGGTGGGGAAGGTTACTTGTTGTTTCTCACACAATAAGGCCAAAGAAACTTCTTTTGATAGATACCTCAGATAGAGGCTTTGAAGAGCTTCTGAGCACATTCTGTTCAGGAGGGTGCTGGGATGCAGAGTGTAAAGTACAAATACTTCTCCACATAGGATGGAGTTGCAGCCCAATAAACCCATCCTACATTGAAAATATCATGAGTCAAAAATGCATTTAATACACTCACCTGCCAAACATTGTGGCTTAGCCTATCTAGTATACCTTAAATATGCTCAGAACAGTTATATTATCGTATAGGTGGGCAAAGCCATCTAACAAGAAAAGCCTATTTTATATTAAAAGGGTTAAATAGCTCATATAATTTATTGTGCATGTCACATTCACACCATCATAAAGTTGAAAAATCGATGTTGAACTACCGTAAGTTGGGGACCATCTATAGAAGAATATTTTCTAGAAAGTAAACAACAAGAGAGAAACTAACAGAAGCCAAAGAAATAAATAATTTAAATCCCAGAGATCTGGACCTTATTTTAGGTAAATTGAATGTAACATGTGGTGAAATAGCTCTTTCTCATTTGAATAAGATGTAACTGAACAGTAAGTTGAGGTCATTGGGTACATGTGACCTTGACGAATTGTGTGGTGCTCTAGTTGTAGGCAAACCGTTCACGATCATCTCTTGCTTCTGTCACCGCTGGGTGTTTGGCTGGATTGGCTGCCGCTGGTACGGATGGGCTGGATTTTTCTTTGGCTGTGGAAGTCTTATCACCATGACTGCTGTCAGCCTGGATAGATACCTGAAAATCTGCTATTTATCTTATGGTAAGAGGCAAAGTTTCTTCTTCCCTGATAGTCGGAGCTAGGTAGTTGTCAGAGCTGGTCATATTTACCTCATAGGTAATAAACAAAGATAATAAATATTCTCATTAATACTCAAGAGTATTTCGATTTATAACTAATCTTATTCTAACCAGTGTTTGAAGATTTGAACCTGTGTCAATGTAAGTTTATTTTAAAACTACTTTTATAGGAACGCCCGCTGTTTGTTTTTAAAAGTATCATTTCCTTTTATAAACCATGTAAGCTTCTACCATCACTTGCTATGCAAACAAAGGAAATAAAATGCACTGGAAGGATATTAGATCCAGGATGTTTAGCTGGTTCCCACACAGGAAGTGTAATGACATGAAAAGATGTTTGTGATCCTCCTGAGCGCTCAGGCCCCCTGTGATTCCGGAGAGGAGGAACTCCAGTGATCTGCCTCTAAGTCAGAGAACCGCACAGTGTGTCTTCAGGAGAGTGCACACATACAGAAATGCCACTCAACCTTCTTTTTGTGGTGTTGGTAGGTAGGTAGAAAGGTGAGTGACTAAGAGAACTGATGAGGGATGAGCCAGCAATAAACAAGTTTTCAGGGGCTGGAGATTTTTTTTTCAATTGATTATTCTACATGTTAAAATAATTTTTTTATTACTTTTACTTTTTGGAATTCTGGGAATTTATTTAACCCACAAGAGATGCATTTGGGCCCTTAAGTTTAATGTTGAGGACCAAGTGCAGCCAGATTGTAATATTAGTTCCCTCTGGCTAAAGCTGCTTTTTCTATCAATATGTCCATCTGAATGACTGTGACCATGGGGACAGAGGATAACCTGGGGCCTCAGGTCGGAAAGATTCTCAATGCGGTGGAGTTTTCCTCCATGTTTTAAAAGTTTATGGTCTCAGACTCCAAGGAAACCATGCACAGGAAAGGGGCAGATCACGACCCACCACCTTCCCAAACCAGCACTTAGTCTTTTTTTTTTAAAGATCGCATCTCCTTTTCTAAACAGTTTAAAACTTCCAATAGAAATAGTATGGATCAAAATTTCTAATAAAATAAAATATTTACAATTATATGCATTCTAAATAATTTCAGAGTCCAACTCTTTGTATAAAATTGATTCTGGTTCCCTCGGTGATGGAAGGAAACTTGCCTTGGTGCGTGAACACACAATGCAATATGTATGCAATTTTATAGACTAGAAGGCAAAAAGTTAAACTTCCTGGGGATATTTGAGGGATACAAAACCTTAATGTCTCTGTTTTTTAAATATTTTCTTAAACTTAGGCTTTGTGTCAGTTTAAGAGATGATACTCTCCATCCCTAGAATGAGCTCAGGGTTTAACTCCACATGGGAAGTATCCATATTTTCCAGCTGCTTCTAATGTTGAACTTCAATAGGACGGTTTCATCATTTGATCTGACACACGATTAGATCCTCCACACAGTGTCTTAGAATGTTGGAATTAGAAGATCTCTTGGGGATATGTAGACCTTTCTCCCATGTAATGTGATAAACTGTTTGAAGGCATCCCTGACAGACAGCCATTTGGCCTCTTCCTGTGACCAGTGACGGGGAGCTTACTACTGCACAAGGCAGCCCATTCTCTGATTGGTCTGCTGTCGTTGTTACAATGTTATTCCTTATATTAAGACAAAACTGCCTCCCAGTAACCTCCACCCATTGGTCCTAGTTCTGACTTCTGGAGCAACACAGAACCAACCTACTAATCTACTCCCTCCTGTACTTGACAGCCTTTCACCACACTCAAATGTAAGTATAAAACACCTCACCAAGTAACTCTAACCATAAATGCTTGTAAGTATGCCTATGCACATTCCCATAAATATATGTGAGTATCCGTGCCAGTGTTTTATCTCTTACAATGGATAACCAAAAGCTGACATATACTGTGGCTAACAATTATTATCCTTATCTGGTTAGGATAAAGAAATTGTATTTTATAATATAAAATGTCATGTATGTGAAAAAATAGCAACAATAGAGTATACAAACCATCTGTCATACTTCTCGTTAGCACTAAATGAGACAAACCCAGGAGTAAAAATGTATGTTAGTGTAGCTCTTCATAGCTTGTATTTTTTTCATTTAACTCTTATCAAAACCTATAAGTAATATAGTCTACCTTCCTCTATTTAACTCATAAGAACACCAACATTTAGAAAGGTCACATGAAGCAAGTCAAATACTAAAAGTGAGAAGAACGCCCTGCTGACCTCCCAGACCTCACCTGGCACTAAGCAGAGGCAGGTCTATATGGAAGAAGTGGTTTGGTTTGTTTTTAGTGTGTTTTGATATTCTTCCCTGTACTGTAAAACCAGGGCTGTAAGGAGTCACTTCTCCAGCCCTTTCAGTTCAAGGTAATAAGTAGGGTGTGGAAATAAGATAATTCCCCATGTAGACTGAAGCACTAGGTGAGGCCAACCTGTTTTCAGTGGTTGTGTAGAACTTTAGAAAATGATCACTAGTGTTTTAGCTTTTTCAGAGGACTGCACCATTTCTTTCTCCTGGAATTCTCTTTTGGTTACTGGATACTAAGGCTGAAAATGGAGCCCTTTTTTATTGTTGTTATTTTGTTGAGTTTTCCTGAAAGTATTTTTACAGAATTACTTTTGCAGAACATGATACAATCTACCTAGATTCTCTCCCTCTTCCCCCAGGGCTTTGTGAGCATGACTGTTGTGTTAATAACGTTTGAAGATTCAGAATCTGCTCCCACTGAGCATAGTCAGCCACTTCAATGTCACACAACTCAGTCATGATCATGGCCCACCAACCCCCACGTGACAAGTGCTCAGGAAGAGAAATGAAATGAGAGACAGACACTAAAGGTTTTAGGGAGAATGGTCCACATTTTAAAGACACAAGCAATGTCTTAGCATTTCTCACCTCTCCGTGGGTGGTCCACTAATATGTGCCTTTTTGGGCTTGGTCTACCAGTCAGCCGCTTATACTGGACAGGATCTCAAAGTTTATTCTGATGCTTTCCCAAGATCTTCCAGTGCCTTCAGCATCTTCTTACTCTTTTACTGTCCCCTTTCTCCAGCTTTTGTCACTTTCCTTTCCCAAGGCTTCCAGATGCCTAGAGGAAACCTTCCCTGTGAAATCACTTCCAATTTTATTCTTTTGGAAAAAGGCCCAGCTCTGGAACTTTTCTCACTTCCCTCCACTCTCCCTCAGGCTTCAGTTTTCTGACCACTTCTCCCAGAAGCCAATGAAATAACTCTTTGGATGTGGAATTTGACATATCGAGGGGAGGTATCTGGGTTGAGAGCAGATTATATCTTGGTAATGGTTTTCTTCTGCCTCCAGGGGTTTGGCTGAAAAGAAAGCACGCCTACATCTGCCTGGCAGTGATCTGGGCCTATGCTTCCTTCTGGACCACCATGCCCTTGGTAGGTCTGGGGGACTACGTTCCTGAGCCCTTTGGAACCTCGTGCACCCTGGACTGGTGGCTGGCCCAGGCCTCAGTAGGGGGTCAGATTTTCATCCTGAACATCCTCTTCTTCTGCCTCTTACTCCCAACGGCGGTGATTGTGTTCTCCTACGTGAAGATCATTGCCAAGGTTAAGTCCTCCTCCAAAGAAGTAGCTCATTTTGACAGTCGTATTCATGGCAGCCACATGCTGGAAATGAAACTGACCAAGGTAACTGCAGTAATAATTTACAGAGGTGTTTTCTAATTGTTAAAACTTCAAAGGGCAGAAAGGATAGGGAATGTTGGAGATGGGGAGAACTTAGAGTCCTTACCATTTATGTACTTCTGAACTTTGTTATTTTTTATCTAAGCCTTTGTGGTATCTCTTTTCTCTGTCTCAGTCTCTGTCTGTCTGTCTCTCTCTCATTTGCATACACTCACATATCCATCCATACACAACAATTCTAATATCTACAGATTTGTACAGTGGATCTACCAGAGGCTTATTCTTTCTATTGAAGAGAATATTACAGGTTTGTAAAAATTATTTTAGTAATAAGAAAAATAACTTTAATGAATTATAAAATGCTTTGTATGGACTTCAGTGGGCATGATGAGGGATATTCTATGCTCTCACATTATTTACAGAGTAAGAGCTTACTCTGTCTGCTTTCCTATGGGATACTTAACTCAGGAGTAATTTCTGCAGGTTTGAATCCCTTGGTAAATGCTAGTTTCAGAGCTGGCAGCAATTTAGATGTAGTGGTATAAGAAGAAGAACAGAAAATTTGAAAATAAACTAGGATTTTAATTTCATCACTGGCACTTTCCAGGTTTGTGACCCAGAGCTATATACTTTAAGTCTCTGTTTCTTCACTTGTGTAACAGAAAGAGTAACATCCACCTTGCTGGGCTGCGGTGGAGATTTAGTGAGATAAAATATTTTGTCCTGTCTTCTGGTGCATGGGATATGTTAAATAAACCACAATTCATCCTTTCTCTCATAACTTCTAGGAATTCTGGTAAAATCTAAGGCAGCAGTCTTTATACACTTTCATGTCTCACCCTTATGTTGATAACACTTTAAAGCTCAAAGCATCAACATAAATGACATGCAAGTAATGTCAAACTATGTATTGAATATTAGCTTACCTGACTTTTCATGTTTTTAAAGGTAAAAATAAATGTAGGTGGAAGTTCTGGTATCATGGTCAATCGCGTTGATCAATATCCCCCTTCAGACGTCACCATGGCCTACTTTAAGGACCGTCAATCTTGGGGACTTACAGTTCACTTAGCAGTTCTTTCTTGACCAGAGATGGTGTCCTAACAAGTCAGGGCCCCTGTCTTAGTAATAGTCCTCTCTCCAAAGTGCTGACTTTTTGAAGCTGTGCTAACATCTCTTAGTTGCATGGTATAGCTTAGAGATTCTTTTTAAAAAGTTAAAGAATAGTTGATATGCAGTATTGTATTAGTTTCAGTTGTACAACATAGTGATTCAACATTGATATTCCTTGTGAGATCATCATAATAAGTTTTGTAACTGTCTGTCACCATAAAAAGTTATTATGGTAATATTGACTATTTCCCCTTGCTATATATTACATACCCATGACATTATTGTTATTACTATTAATAATAATAATAAAAGGAGTTTTTTGTATCTTTTCTTTGCCTTCACCTTTCATACGTACTTTACTCCCTCTGGCAACCATCAGTCTGCTCCCATTGACTTTTACTCCCTGAACTCCGCATGCTGAGTAGGAGGCAATTGAGGGAAGTTTTCATCCTCTACATCTATACCAATAATCTAAATATAGAGCGTTTTTCATGGACAAAAATACAGATTCAAGAATCATAATCTACTCCTATCTTATAATGGGCTATAAAGTAGGAAAATATATCCATAGGATATATTATCTATAGGATAATAACTTACTCATTTTCAGCTCTTCTTCAAGCTCTTGTGTGTTTTTCTAAAATTTTAATCCAAATTCATTAATCCAAGTTAAATGTGGGTTACATTTAATCCAAATTCTGCCCTGCCTTGTGTGGCTCAGTGGATTGAGCACTGTCCTGAAAAACACAGGGTCACTGGTTCAATTCCTAGTCAGGGCACATGCCTGGGTTGCAGGCCAGGTCCCCAGTGTGGGGCATGGGAGAGGCAACCACACATTGATGTTTCTCTCCCTCTCTTTCTTCTTTTCTTTGCCTCTGTCTAAAAATAAAATAAATAAAATCTTTTAAAAAATCCAAATTCTATTGCATACCAAGCACTTTCTAGGAACTGGGTGAATGCAACAGTGAAAATTTTCCTTTTCAATATTTTATGGAAATATGACCACAGAGGCCACAGGGTGTATCTCACACTGGAATGTGGCTTTCAGTTGACCTTGCAGCCCTGTTGTTTGGTATACCAGTAAAGTTGCTGAGAGGTTGTATGACTTTCTCTCTCTTCTTGCCATCCCTCAGTGTTATTGACCTTGAGACATTCTGATGGTCTTGTCTAGTGTATCTGGGTCCTCATATCCACAAAGTCCTTCTCTAGTTTCTCAATCCTTTCTCCTGTTTGTTACATTGCTTGACTTGATCCACTCACAGCTAGCTTTTATTAACGTGCTAGAATCTTGTTTCTCTGTGTGTTCTTGAGGGTGAGCAACTTGTTTAGTCAGTGCTTCTGAAGCTCATTATCCATATGAGGTGAAGCTGAGCACATATCATTTAATTTGATTTATGATCATTCTCCTTGTTCTGAACTGTGTAGATTAAACTGCCAGGCTCACCCAAACCAGATTAACTAAAGAAATGTTAAATGGAAAGAGTAAGCACATATGTGTATGGTTTTATTTTATGTGTACCTTCTAAAATAAATACTACATGACATTATATAATATATATCTATACTATAATATTATATATTATTTCTATATTTCATTTACATATATAAAACCTATATGAAAATGAACTAAATACAAATGTTTCTAATTCTTAACATTTGGTGCAAAAACTTAAGTCAAAATTAAACCTACTTTGAAAAATAAATACAACTTTCTATTGTGGCATCTTCTGTACTAAATTAAAACTATTTAAAGTTACTCTTTAATTTTGACCTTGATTTTCTGTACTGAATAAAAATAAGTAGAAACAGCCTCATGCTGGGCCATTTCACAGTCATTTTCTTCCATTTAGCTGTCTCTCAGGACTGGCAATTTGCCTGTTTCTTTGGTGCTTCTGATCTGCAGAACAGCCTGGTCTAAAAGCTTACTACTTAAAGGCCACCTCCCAGGATTCTGGGATTAAAATCATTTACCTTTTCTGTGTACTCTGGTTATTTCTAGGTGAGTTATTACCTGGGCCTGTATGTTGCCAGTCTGGCCTTGTCAACTTAAAAATTGATGTTTTATTTATAACATTTTCTCCACATTGTAGTTTTCTTCTAATTTATTTAAAAAATTATTTTGCTAGACTTTTGTAGCAGGCTAGAATTTCACAGACTACAGAAATTGCAGAGCTGTGCTCCCCCTCAGAAAAACCCCTAAAGAAACCAAAAAAAAAAAACCCACTTTCTATGATTCAGTATAATTTCATATTTATGCCTGCATTTTACTTTGTAAAACAAATAATTTTAAACAATCAGGATTAATTCATTTGAATCAAAGGTTTTCCTTCTCTTCTTATAACTATGTTTTAGGAATGTCTTTATAATTCCATGGTGCCAGTGGGTGGGGTCCACTGGTCTGGTTGTTATTTATTGACCCGAGTGTTGCTGAGAGTGTTAAGGTTCCTCTGGTCTCAGTCATCAGTTGTCATGGATCGCCTTGCATCCTTCTTGCCTCAACTGTAAAGCCTCTTTAGATGCATTAGCAATTCCAGCTACTTCCCCATCCTTGTACTGAAAACCCTCTAGTAACTGCTGGGAGTTTGGTTAAGACCCTGGAAAGTGAGGCACAAATTTTTTGTTCTCCTCTTTGCAAAGCACTGGGGACCTATTGCTCCCCTTAGTTCCCCATGCTCAGCTCAGTGGAGCAGCTTTCAGAAGAGCATCTGGAGGTCAGTTACCAGCATCTTCCATGCCACTCCCTCCCTCACTGTGGGGCTGCAAGCTCTTTATCCACACTGCAGTGGGGGAACTGGCTCCTATATCCACATACATCCCTTGAATTGTTCCTATAAGAGTTTAATGCCCTAAGTCCTTCAAGCATCTGGCTGTGGATACTCAAGTCATTTTAATTCCACTCAAAATTCTTTTCTCTCAAACATTTTCTCTGTTGTAAGTTTCCAGTTTTTGTTTTGAAACTCAGAAGCTGAGAAATGAATGTTTTATTTCTTTGGGTACTTCAGCTGGTAAATGCTTCACAAATTCAATGAACACTCTTGCTGCTTTAATGAGGGGGGATAGTGGAATCACAGGAAGGAAGTACCAGAAGAGTAATTTTTGCAAATATTATTATGCTAATTCTATTAGTACTTCATATTTATTCATTTGACAGACATAGATGATCTATAATGTCCCAGACCTATAGTTTGTACCCAGATCCTGTGGCTATCTGGCTTTCTTTAGTTCTCATGTTTCCTCCAAAGCCTCCCCAACTCCGCCCATCTAGTTGAAGTCCCTCCCCAGGCCATCAGAGCACTTGGCACATTTACTTCACCGCATCTTGTGTTTGTTGCTCTTTTTTGCGAGACAGTAGGCACTGTTTGCTGCTGCCCCCCATTGCCTTATGCCTGCTAAATGGTTAATCAAGATTGCTGTAATGAATACATAATTGAATAAACTAAGCCTAATTACCTTGATGAGTGTTAAGCGGTCCCTTGACCCCTGGCTATTGGCTCCAGCGCCTCCTTCCCTTTAATACCTGAGGAGGCATTTTGCTTTGCCTTGTTTTTTCACTGTGATTGTGAAGTCTTTTTAAAACTCAAGCATGAATATCTTCTTCCCTCAAGTTACTCCTCTCCTCTACTGCTCATGGAGTGTTATTTACCATTGAAGATTCAGGTTCAGGAGGGAACCCCCTGTGAAGTCTAAGGGTAGTTTGTGGGGAAGCTGAACTGTATTGCTTTATTTTTAACCTAATTAATGAATTTCTTTTCTCGGTTTCTTCCTAGCTTAAATGCCACTTCCCAGAGAAGCATTCCAGAATTGAATTCAAGTCTCTTTATTACATTGTTTTAATGTTGCCTTTACATTTTCTTCTTAGAACTTATCACAATATATATAATTCATTTACA